TGTTCTATTCCAACACCCAGCATCAGCACCCAGCTTTCAATGTGCGCCTGTCTACAGGGGTGCTGCATACATGGCCCGAAGTGGCGATCCCCCAGGGGGCGCGTGTAGTTGCGGCCTGGCCACGATGCATCAAGGAGAGGAATGGTGAGTGCAAGCGCCAGCCAAATTTATGACGCATGGGTTGGTAGTCGGGAGAGGAGTTGAGCAGCGAGTGCACATGTGATCGCACGCGCGTAGATCTGACTGGAGAAAGTCGAACAAACAGATCCCGAAGCGTGCCCATATGAGCCGCGCGGGTCCGTGCTAGCAGGGTTGATTAGGCCAATGAAATGTGACGGCAGGAGCGGATGTGGCTTCGTGCACAAGGGGATTGGAGCAACCTTTGCTGTTACAATTGCGTTAGCGTTGCCGCCGAGCGTGCTGGGCGAAAATGTCGGTGAGCTCACGTGGACATGGCAGGATGGTGACGCAAACAGGGTGGTCCTACCTGTGCCCGGATGAGCACTCTGGAGTTCACGTGCGGCGCGTGACCAAAGACAGCAAAACTGGATAATCCATTGAAGACAGGTCCGTTGACGGCGTGACTGGGCGTGAGCAGACGGGAACTCAAACGTGGGTGCAAAAAACGCTACCGCGGCATTTACACATGTCGTCGCAGGCGGTAATCAGGCTCACCGGTGGAGGTGTGCAGAATGTGAAACATGCGGGCTGGGTGAGTGCGCCAGTGATCTGCTGGGCATGCAACTCCATTGCGTGCCTAGTTCCAGTGGCGCGCTAGGGGGTCCGCGTGATTCACCAGTGTGAGGATGGGTCTGCAAGAATTCGTGGTGGCGCGATTGGCAATGAGCCCAGTCCAGAACTAACCACAAAGGGCAGGGGCGTGGGCGAATTCCACATACGCCAGGCATGTCCAGAAACACATAAAACATGAGTGTGGGCAGATACCTGGCGAAGCACAGGGATTAGGGCCAGATGCGTTCGCACAGACGAGTGGGATTTTGCAAATCAAGAGTGTAGATCAATATTGGCAGCCCAGCAGGTAAAGTATAACTCCAACGGGAGAAACGCATTTGCAGCCATGCCACCCCATCAAGGCACATGAGCTATTGTTCTCTACGGCAGCCCCAGAAGGAACCGGGTATAAGGAAGGGGATGCGGAATTTGTGCTGAGACTCGCATTCATCGACGTAAGAGGGCTTGCTCCAACGCCCCCGCACAAAATGGCGTTGAGGTCAAGGTGCCGCGGGGGGACTATGAGGCTGGAAAGTGCGGTAAATTCTTCAAATCAATGTACGGAACGCGTGATGAGCGACTAAATTGGGGAGACTGCTGCAAGGTTTTTGGTTGGAGACAGGTGTCGCGTCAGGGCGTGCGTCGCCCTGTGTGTCTAGGATTCGCGATGGATGCTTGCTGGCAGGCTGTTCGCGACGACGACTTCGCGACGTTCGGGCGCAAGTGCGATCTGGATCGGTTCGAGAGGGATCGATGGGCGCGCGGTGTCGAAGTGCGTGTGTGTGTGTGTGTGGGGGGGGGGTTCGGACCCGGGAAGGTTGATGGAAAGTCGGTCAGGACCCCCAACATATTTGTTCAGTCGACGCATGGCGGAGCAAGGTACGAGGCATATTACAGATGTGCGGAGGTAGTTGTAAGAGATGGGGCTTAGGGGAGTTGCCATCGGTCGACGAGAACGATGGGGGCATTGTTAGTTGCATGTCGTGCAACGTGCTGGGCGGTATTGGCGTGGGCGCATTGCCTGTCGCAGGATCGGTCCGACATTCAATGCGCCGTGCCCAGAGAGCAGATGGCGTGGACTGGCACAGACGGCGCTTGAATTAAGAAAGCGAGGAAATCTACCAGCGGAGGTGTGTTTTTTTTGGGGGGGTGTCATGCGATATTGTCTTGGAGTTCAACGCAGGCTGTAACCGTGCTTTAATCGTGAGAAGCAGGTAGTAGGGCATGGTGAAAGGAGCGTTGGGGGCATTCGGATTGCCATTGGAGCAACGTGCGACATTGCACTCAGGAGTGGCGCCGCAGCAGCAATTGCCATTGCCATCGGTCGTGGGTTCTGCAAAGTGGGGCACATTGAGATGCCTCAGCAGCGGTTGCAAGTCAAGGTATGGATGGGGCCATCAATGACATGAGGCGAACGTGGCAGTATCATGAGCTAGGGAGACATGACTTAGCACTAGCGACGGAGTGCCAAGTCGCCAGCAGTCATGTGACTGCGAGCTGTCCGCTTACACTGTTGCCGCGACTGGCCAGCTCCCTAAACCTTGAACCCGGCGCCCCTTGCCACTTAACGCTCGCGCTGCTCGCTGTCGTGGGCGATGACATCCATGGGCCAGTATTCTCACCCATCGAGACGCTATCCGTGAACTGCGTCGAGACGGACCCCGCCAATCCATGCGCTGTCAGCCGCGAGGACGTGGCAGCTATCGGGGAAGAAGTCGAGTGCGTCCTCCAGCTAAATACGATGTCCGCGACGCCGCGTGGCAGAGCGAGAGCGCTGCCGAGGCCGAGTTGCACGCGGCCGATCAGGCGACAAGTTGGCGCGCAATGCGTGCGCTGCTGAAAGGCACCTTGTTCTGCTGCGCAGGAGCGCTCGCCGAGTCGAATAACGTCGTCGCCGAGGGAATGGGTCGTGGCGATGTCAGATGGCTCGTTGCTGCGTGCTGGCTGGCCGAAACGAGGATCTCAACGAAGGGGGGTGGGTGGCGTCTTCAAGGGGGGGCCCGCGAGGGGCGCCGATCAGGCTGGCGCGAGGCGCAACATCACCACTAATCGCGATTAGTGCGTGGAGAAGATCCACGAGGTGATTTGCATGCAGAGTAGCGATTGAACGACTGCGTGTGCGGGCAAAGCCATTGACGAGGCGATGCTTTGCCTTAATTTGGCCACGAAGGGCGTGATGGACCACTGGGGGGCGTCGGGCGCCACCCGGGGGAGCCCGTCAGGTCCGTCGGCGAAGGCGAAGTCGGAAGCGTGGATTCTAGCAAGGCTGCGCTACCTGGGCCCCAGGGAACGTCATCGGGCTCGGGCGACGTCGTTGGCCATCCATCCAAACGGTCATCGTAGCAGAGCCGGCCGCTAAATCAGAGGAGTCACCAGCGGTAGCGGCGGACAGGTCACCGGAGCGTCAGCGTGATGTAACGGACAACCGCGGCGATGGCGAAGGGGCGGGCGAAGGTAACCGAGGCGCGCCCCCGCCGCGATCCTAACTTCAGGAGGACTCCACCGCGTGCGCTTCAACCGACCGGGCGGAGTGTGCTAGCCGCGTGATGCGTGGCCTGCAGGATCCGCGGGGCAACGCTGTAGCCAGTGAAGCCGCTGATAGCTGCCGCGACTCGTTAGAGGTTCTGTTCGGCGATGTTTGCCACGTGTCGCCCATCGCCCACGGCCGATCTTGAGGGGCCGCCGACGTGGCGCTGGGCCTTGCCCGATCACCGTCATGAGCAGCATGGCGAGTGGGTCCACCTGGTAACCGTCGTCCAGAGTCAGTCAGTGCTCTGATGTTCGCCAGGGCTGCCGAAGACCGCGCGTGCCACATCAGTCTCCTGCATTTGCGACTGGGGCGTCAGTATGAAAGCGCAGGTATGCTTTGACAACGTCCCTGAGCTGCACGAGTGGGGCTGCGTCAACATGATAAGCGCGATTTTTGGCGTGCCTTGGCCTGGGGGTCCTTCGGTCGTCAGCTTGAACGCCACTTGCAGCGTCTCCACAATCTCGAACGGTCGTGGGGGCACCGTGACTTGAACATGGCCAGCGCGAATCCCAACCAAAGAGCTGACGCAGGAAGTCATGGCGTTGGGCAGTGAATGGTCTTGATATCTGTTATGGCAACTTCGTTGCGGCCATCGAGGGGCCCATGGGCTGGAACCGGCGCGCTGTCGAGAAGCGTTCTCAAACCTGGTGCCGCGCGACCTTCTCCAGAGCCGCGTGTGTCTCGCGGTGTTCGCGACCTGTCGACTCGTGCAGGTGATCAGTTGGCCGTCCAAGTTTAGGGGCCTTCGGTCACATGGGCGAGAGCGTCCTCTCGCGGGCCCAGCTGCCAGCGCGTGATTATTACATGTGGATCACTGACCAGATCTGGGTGGTGGACTTCGCGGGAGCGTTGACTATGACCTGAGATGTCGGGGCCTCAATTGCGCGTGGGTCGCCCCTGATCTTCGCCGCCAAGACAACGCCTACTGGAGGGTCGTCGGGAGGCATGACGGCATCAGGCACAGGGCGGCGGAGAAGTTCCCCGAGGACAAAGTCGAGACCAGGCCGGGGGCCTGGGCCGACAGAAGCGAAGCGACTGACCAGTGGGAGCGTTTCCAAATCATGGCGGACAGTGACCGCCGCCGGAAAAAGGCACAGTCGATTAACCGTGCGCGCGAGATGGTGCAGAAGCCCAAGGCAGGTGTTAAGGACAAGAGGCCGAGGTCAAACTCGAGGAGGTACAGGTGAGTGAGCAGGCGTTGCCAGTGGTATTTCGTCCCTCCGCATCTCTCTCCAAGGTCTGTCGTGCCGGTACCAGTATAATTTTCAATTCGCCTTGATGCGCTGCAGCTGTGGCGAGCTACCATGATGCATGTGCTGTGCGCGTTGCGCCAAGTACCTTTGGTGTTGGCACGCTCAATACTGTAGAAGTTAATGTGTGAGCATTGACGGTTTCTATGGCTCATTACGCCGCGGCTTTTTCTACCATAGAGTTTACTCCAGTTTCCGCTCGTGTAACCCGTGGTATTTATTCAAGTATTTGTAACCGCCGTCAGGCGGTGCGACATAGCTGTGTACTTTAGCGTCGGCCGCCTTGCTTAATGTCCACGAGAGGAATAGGAGGATGCGGAGGACAAGCAGGAGGATGAGGGGAAATCGGAGGAGGCGGCGGAGGAGGAATGCGGAGAATCAGGGGGAAGAGGGGGGGAAGGAATCGCCGTCGTCGCCAGCGTCGTCGTGGACGACTGACGATGTCGACGTTGACGACGCCGACGCCTTTGGGTTCTCCGCTCGACGAGGTGAGGGTGGCGCCGGCGTGGGCGCCTCGCGGCGCCCAGCGCTTCCTGCAGCTGGTGGAGGAGGGCTACTTCACCGACATCGCCATCTACAGGGCTATCCGTGGTGGCCTGCTGCAGTTCGGGGTGGTGCAGGA